ATACAATATATCACCAGAGTGAAGGCAGACAAAGAAAATGTATAATCAACTCAGTGGCTCACACCTGTAATCCTAGTTACTCTGGAGGCTGAGATCTGAGGATCATGATTTAAAGCCAGCCTGGGTAGGAAACTCTGTGAGACACTTCCCTCCAGTTAATCATTACTTGAGCTGTGACTCAAGTGGTAGTGTGGTAGTCTTGAGCAAAAATGGTCAGGGACAGCCCTCAGGTCAAGTTCCCAAGACCAGCATACATACACACACACACACACACACACACACACACACACAAATTGATAAAATTCAATATCCTTTTATGATAAAAACTCTGAAATTTGGTGGTAAAAATACACATTATAACATAATAAGGCAATATGTAGGATGCCCACAGTTAAATCACACTGAATGAGAGAAAGCAGAAAAATTTCTTTCTGAAATCTGGAACAAAAAAGGTTGTCCATTTTCACAGCTTGTTCTCAGTAGAATTATGGAATTGCTAGTCAAAGCAATTAGTCAAGATAAAGAAATAAAGGATTTCCATCACTGTGTGCAGACTACATGATCTTATATCTATAAAACCTCAAAGACTCCACAAACAAAACAAAACCTAAAACTACACCTCTTTGAAATCATAAATGATGTCAGTAAAGTATCAAGATACAGATCAGCAATATTTTTATACATCAGCAGCATTTTATCTGGCAAAATATCAAGAAAACAAACTCACAAAATTCAATAACTTAGAAAAAATTTAGTCAAAGAGTTAAAAGAGTTTTGCAAAAACAAAAAAACCTATAAAATATTGTTGAAAGAAACTGAAGAATACAGAAAAGGAAAGTCATCCTGTATTCATACATTAAAAGAATAAATGTTGTTATAATGTTATTTATACACAAAAGGATCTATAGATTTGATCCAATATCTATCAAAATACCAATGGCAGTCTAGAAAAAGTCCTGAATGTTACATGAAATTACAAAGCAATCTTTCAAAACCTAGACAGTTTTGAGTAAAAAGAATAAAGCAAGACACATTACATACCTGACTTCAAAATATGTTAGGTATCGTAATCCAAATAGTATGGTGTTCGAATAAAAACAGACACACAAACCAGTAGAATAAACAGTGAGTTTATAAATAAATCTACATAAAGATAGCTAACTGATCATTGACAAAATTCTAAGAACATGGAGTTCAATTTCTTAACTACATAGTGCTGAGGAAATGGGACAATTATATGAAGAAGAATGAAAATTACACCCTTGTCTCTCACCATATACAAAATAAATTAGAATGACCTAAAAACTTTAATACCTGAACCTCTAAAACAACTAGAAGAAAACATAAGGTAAATGTTTCAAGAAATTTGAATTGGCAAAGATGGCCCTTAAGACCACCCAAAACACAAGGAAATAAACAAAGTGGGGTTAAATAAATAAAAAGGAAATAATGTAACAATGATGACAATGAAATGTAGCAATGTAACCAAAAGAAGGGCACATCAACAAAGGAATGCTATTAGGTATTTATGACCAAAAGTATCTTAAGAATAATCTTTTTTTTGCAAATTAAGCAATAACCTTCACTTTTAAATATGGAAGGAAAGAATGAAAAATCACACTCATTTTTCTTTTTCAAGATCATTATGATATCTTTTTCAGAAAAAAGCTAAGAACATGATGTATTATACTAATTATGTGTCTATACTATACTAATCTCTACTAAATTGAATCTATTATCCCTATTGTTCCAGGGTTCTTAGAAATAACATTATCTCTAATTCAGTTAATTTTTTTGATAAATAGTGCTTGTTATAAATAATTCCTTGAAAGCTAAAATATTTTGTGTCTTATTATAAAACAACAGAATAGATTACTGGTCATCTATAGGCTAAAAATTATCCATCTTTATTCAGTGTGTACCTAACGGTACCTGATATTTTAGTTCTACTTTTTACAAGTTAGGGCTATTTGGTAATACTGGTCAGTATTACTGCTTGCTAGGCTCTTGGATTATAAATGAGAAAATATATCACAGACAATGTTTATTCTTTATTCTCCCAACAGGCAAAACAAGAAAATGGAACCCAGGCATGGAATTCTCCAGTGTTACTCAATCAAGGCAAATTATTTATTGTCTTCTGCCCAGGAAATCCCATGGGGAATGAGATATTGATTTAGGAATTTGTTGGGCATGGATAACTGTTTTGCAATTCTGTTCTTTTATATTAATTATTAATGTATGATAAATTGTTATATATGCTGTGATGTGGCTGAATAACAAATTAAGCCTGGCTATTTAATACATATGAAATGTACACACTAACCTTTTTTCTAATTACTAACTTGGGGGTCAGAAAGTTCCCTCCATGGTGTGCAGGATCACAGTGCCTTGCTCACATCAGTGTCTAGACTCTGTCTTCTTTCAGCTTACAATGGCCTGGCCTTTGCCATGTCCCCTGCAATCTGAATCCAGTCTTTCAGTGAGTAGGAGGATAGGGTGAGAACCTGCATGTTCTTCATGGATGACTTGGGGATTTTCAAAGCAAGGATATTGGGCAGGGCTCTAAGTAAAGGGAGAGGCTTTAAACTTGGCTATAAAGAAGTTTCCAGTAGGAAGAACAGAAACAATTTCATGGCCTTTTAGAAGCCCGGAGCAACTCTAAAGGAAAAGGAAGCCATGAATCATGAAGGATAGCAATATGCACACTAAACATAGATGTTGCACATTCATAGGTGACATTAGTATTTGTTTGATCTGCTCATTTGTTTCCCACAGAAGAGTGAACATACCAGTTACTTTGAAGACTTTGCAGTCAGAATGTCTGGGTTCTAAAACAGGCTCTGTTTCTTTCTAACAATGAGATTTTAGACAATTTTGTATGCCCCTCTTGACTTAAGTTCCTCATCTCTATAAAAGGATATTTAAAGGCCTCAGCGAGGAAGAGCCCATCTGTGAATGGAGTTTGTACTGAGCTAGCACAAAGTGAGTAAAGGAAGATTCCATGACTACACACTGGAATTCCCGCTTCCAAGCTTGCCTCAGTGGAGTGCTCTTTGGACCTGATTCTCTGGGCCAATTGGTTCTGTCTTTGGTTTACTCTGGACAGTTTGTATTGGATTTGCAACCACATTATACCATCTAATATACCTTCCAATATCCATATCCTAAATGTATTTGTATGTGTATATATGTGCATGGGTATGCATATATAAGACAACCAATACACAGAAGACAACCAGTGTATATTCATTAAATAGATAAATGAGCTAAAATAATAATGAAGCCGCCAAATTTATTCTTAAGCCTCTCTGCATCATCATATCATCACAGGTAATCCAAGTGTAATTGTAGTGTGTCTTCATCTAGGAGCACATCATTCCGTGGGGAAACATACTATGTGGCTCTGAGGATGGTGTTGGGTGAATTGAATTGCTAGGAAAACTGCCAGTAGAAGCCAGAGATTTAGTCGGGAAGACTTGGGTTCTTTTCAACATAACCAATTTTGTGTTCTGCTCAGTTCTTTAACCTTCCTCATTATACTACCATTTTATTTATCCTCCTTCTCCTTCTTTTCCTTCTCCCTCTTCCTCTCTGCCTCCCCCTCCTCCTCTTCCTCTTCTTTTGTGGTGCTGAGGCTGGAGCCCAGAGCCTCTCTCATACTAAGCAAGTTCTGTTCTATTGAGCTGTAGCCACAGATCAAGCACCATTCTTTATGCATAAGGTGAGAATTTTAAGTATTTACCTTCCAGCTCAAAGGAGCTCGTATATGTGAAAACTGAGAAGGATGCTAATGTTATTCGTTGAACTGCCCCCTGGGTTCAGTTGGTGATGAATGTACACACCTGACAATCATAGCCTACAGGTGTTATTTTTTTTCTCATAGTCAGATGCATGATGCAAGTCACACTTATTTCCAAAGGATATCTGTGATCATATGTGATCTTATTTGAATACGGGATGGAGTACTCAGTGTTCTTTGTGAAAGAAATGGGCCCACTGGCACTTTATCCCCCAAGTTCCCTTCAGCATCCCTCTCTCAAGATGCAGATAGGAGCTGAAGTGCTTGCTGTGCGGAAGACCAAGTCCCAAACAGGCCCTTTGGTGGACTCTGCTCACAGAACCTGCAGGGCACCCTTCCCAGGGGTGTTTCTGGTGGGCGTGGCGAGAAGCACCTGGCTTTCCTGGACTCTTAATTCTGCCTAGCCCGGTCCAATGTGTCTGATGAGATCTAGTTTCACAGTCCCCCCGGTGGTAGCCCTCAGTCCCATTACAATTCCCCAGAGCTCCCGGGTGTGTGCATGGAGAAGAGAACCCCAGAGAAACCCAGCGCCAGGGCATTGAGACTCCAGGTCTGCAGCTACCGCCCCGCGTAGTGCCCCACTCCCCCCGACCGCAAGCCGGCCAAGTGCGTGGCGGGGCCGGGCAGCGTCGCGGCCCCTTTAAGAGCCCGGCCCAGGCTGGCCCTGGGGCCGCGAGTGCCCCGCGCGCGCGCGCCGCGCAGAGGAGTTGGGAGCGGGCGCAAAAGTTTCCTCCCAACTCCGGCCCCGCGCGCGCCGCCGCCGCCCACTCCAGCCCGGGGCTTGGGGCCGGCCCTGCCGTGGTCGCCAGGACCAGGGCCAAGGGCGAGGGCCTTCGCCGGGCCGGGCCGGGCGGGGCCGGGCTCGCAGTTTCACTTCGGCGGGGCTTGTCGCCTTCGCGGGGCCGTCGAGCGGGACCCTCCGCGGGGCCGCGGGCCCGGGGAGCCGCTCCGCCGCGGGCGCCCACCCCTGGGAGCAGGCGCCCCGCTTCCCGCTGCCGCCCCCCTCCCCGGGCCTGCTCCAGCCCGGTGCCAGGGTCGCGGTCTGCAGCCCTCCTCCCGCCCGCCGGGTCCTGCAGGTCTCCAGGCCCCGCGGCGCCCCGGCCACCCCCTCGGAGCGGGGCCGGGCGCCCGCGGGCCCCGCAGACACCTGTTCGGTGGAAGGGGCGGGGGGGGGGGGCGCCCGGCGCGGCCGGCCAGGATGAAAGTGACCGTGTGCTTCGGCAGGACCGGCATCGTGGTGCCCTGCAAGGAGGGCCAGCTGCGCGTGCGGGAGCTCACGCAGCAGGCGCTGCAGCGCTACCTGAAGACCCGCGAGAAGGTAGGCGAGCGGGCGGGCGGGCGGGCGCCGGCGGCGGCGGGCGGGGTGGGGAAGGGGGCGCGGCCGCAGCGCCAGGCCACGCGCCGGCGCCCAGCCGGCCGCGCACCTGCCAGGTGTCCCCGGGCCCAAGCCTGCCTACGTCCCTCACCGTGTGCGTGTGCGTGTGCGTGTGCTGCTAATACCAGCGATCCCGGTGTCGTTAGGTGTCCAGGGGCTTTGCACTCACACATCTGGTGAGGATGTCAATCTGGGACTCGTTAGGCTCCAAGCCAAGCCCAGGCTAGTCTTCTCTTTAAATCAAGATTCCCAGGGGCTGCGCATGTCAGGGAAGTTTGAGAGGTACCCCTGGGGCACTTCTACCTGCTGGGCACCTGAAGTGGGATTTTCTCTCTCTCTCTAAGTCCTGCCCCACTAAGGTTTCTTGGATTTAGATTGGTGCAAGTAACACCTCCTTACAAGGTGTTAAGGGCTGACCCTTTTGGAGTTTTCTGCCTCATGAGCTGACTTCCGCAGTCTTGGGCAGAAGCTCAGGTGGAGGGTGCTTTCTGCTGAACACCCACCAGCCCACATTTAAGGAGTTTTCTTTTTGTTTTGGTTTTGTTTAATGTTGTTCTCTGAGCAGTTACCATGTAAGTGGATTGTGTGTCAGGTGACTCTTGAAGTGCGAAAGATGTTCCCAGCTCTCCCTGAAGTCAGGAATAAGTTTTTTTTTTTGTTGTTGTTGTTGTTTTTAAAGTGGCACATAAAAAAAGTGTTCATGAGGCTGGGAAGGTGGCTCAGTGGTAGAGCGCTTGCCTTGCATGCATGAGGCCCTGGGTTCGATTCCTCAGCACCACATAAACAAAAATAAAAAAGCCGGAAGTGGTGCTGTGGCTCAAGTGGTAGAGTGCTAGCCTTGAGCTGAAGAGCTGAGGGACAGCGCCCAGGCCCAGAGTTCAGGCCCACGACTGATACAAACAAACAAACAAACAAAAGCCAACAAAAGTGTTCAATAGTTATTTAGAACGTTTAGAAGGACACTAGTCCTGTCAAGTTGTGTTAGGGTGATGACAAATAGCGCCTCATTGCCTTCTTCCATGGAGTCTTGTTTTAGAGGCCAATGTTTCTCTTAATATCTGTTCTCATGTGATGGGACTATAGAAATAGTGAATTGATGAATGTAGTGGTGGAAAAAACCCATCATTTTAAATCTCTTAATGTGAAAGCTATTCAACACATGAAAACAATTTGTTTCTTCCAAGTTGAGAGCTTTTTAAAGAAATATCTGTATTTTCTGTTTCCTCTAAGCACTATTGGAGAAAATATTATTGACTCTGGATAGGTACCCCTATATATTGCTTTTGAACAGTCAAGATAGTATACCGAAAGCTATAAATACAATCTCTAAAGCTGAATGCTTTACTGTTGGAGCTGAGGTACAGAGGGAAAATTTTAAAGTGCTCTATAAAGCAAGAGGAGAATCGACCCCAATGTGTTTTTTCTTTCCCTCATGTTAAAGATTTTGTGCTGCTTGTATAATTGAATTAAAAGCTGCAACTTAAGTAAGCATCTTTGAAATCATATTTCACTAATTTCTGAAAGTGGGCTATGGCCACAACTTATTCCAGGCAAAAGCAAACCTCATTGAAGGAGTGTTTACTGAGAGAATAAGTTTTTTCAAAAAAACCTCATTATTAAAATTAATCTATGTCCTCAAGTCTTGTACATTTAGAAACTTATACATACAGAGAATGAGCCAGATGATTTTTAATGCATTTTAATTTGATCTTAAAATGTATTAAAAAGCTATTGATATTCTGAAGTGGAATCATAATTTATATCACAGAGCTCATAATGTAATTGCATTGATCAGTTTACTGTTATTACCAGACATTATATTTTTCTGTGTTTGCATTTATATATTAGTGACTGTGACATTTAAAGGTCACCTGTAGCTTATAAAACCTCCCTCTCACTCTTTGGCTTTTAAAATTTCAATTCAAGTAGAAAGTGATGTGTTCTCTTTTCCCAAATATTCCTCACCCCTACTTTCATTTTAATTGATAGTGTAAGCATAAGGCGTAACAAACCAATAGTTTTCCTTAATGTAACTAAAACTGAAGAATACTTTCATAAATTCCCTTTTATCTGAATATTTTAAATAATGGAGAAAGAGCAGAAATGTCAAAATTCGGTTTAAAAGCCAATTTACAATATGCTCACTTTCTCTAAATCAGGGAAAGAGAGTTCAAAGGCTTGTTTCCTGGACAGCAAAGCTTAAGCATTACATTTAACATCTACTACAAGAACATGTGCTTCTTCCATGCGGGCACTGTGCTAGTTGCTTTCCTGATGTCACATTACTTGTCCTCACAAGCAGCCTCAGAAGATGGATTTCCCCATAGTACAGTCTAAGGAAAAATAGATACAGAAACATGACTAATAAATTGTGGAACTGAATCTGAACCCAGGAACTAAAGTAATACCTGCAGTTTGTTTTTAACAGACAATTCCCTTACTAATGTTGACAATAACGTATCAACCTCAAGATTGCATCCTTTTTCCCCCTTCAGCATCTATGTAGATGGAACATAGGGTCTTCTGTGTAGTGTGAGGCAAGTACTCTTAATACTAAGCCATATCCCTAGCCTTAAATAGAGCAATGGGATATCCACATAGTTCTCTTCATTTTATCTCTGGTAAAACAGGTGTATATATACTAGGGAGGATTTCTGAGACAACTTTTGCAGGATTTGCAAAGCAGCTCTTAAAAATCATATTCTGGGCCCTGATTGCTAATGGAGAAATTGGGCAAGGTCCATTGGACATTCAGGTGGAGAAAGCTGTAGGAGATGAAATTAAAAATAGGCAGGAACATGAATGTAAATTGTCTGTTTCTTCTGCGGTACTGCGCACTCTAGACTGGAGGAAGGCATATTTCAGGATGGAAGTTGGATGAAATGCAGAGGATGAGTAAAGCCTCCAGGAGGCTGTGGTAGATTTGCATGCGGCATAGGAGAAGGAATCGCCACTTGCTGAGAATAAACACTGAAAGCTGGTATTTGTGGAATGCTGGGAACCAGCTGAATCAACAACAGATAAGGCCAGAAGTAGGTGAGATGCTGAAAATGGAAGGCTTTAATTAGATTTGAAATCTGGGACTGTGAGGTTCCTGCCACTATTGGATGAACTCCATTGGGACAGTGAGTTGACTGAGGGGTGAGAATTATGGGATTAGTTATCTTTGGATCCTTGTACTTTATCAATGTCCTTGGTCCTAAATCTAATTTAGTGAAGTAGTTAGTGGAGGTGATTGTCTACTTAAATAGTCAAGGCGAGGATCACTGAGTAATTAGTAAAATTTATCATCAAAATTACATGTCACAGGTGAAAAGACAATTAAACGATAACCTACCTGTAGGAGAGCATTACCACTAATTTTAACATCTAATTTTTTTTAATACAAATGCCTGTATCCCTTTTGTCAAGATTTTCATTGAGTGGGTGTGGAATGGATCCTGGGTATAATTTAAAGAGCACTTGAGGTGATTTTAATTCCCCCACTAGGACTGAGAACAAACAGGAAAAGTTTGGTGGTGTTGAATTTTTAAAAAAATTTGTTGTTATGAAGGTGATGTACAGAAGGGTTGCAGTTACATAAGTCAGATAAAGAGTATATTTCTTTTTGGACAATGTTATCCCTTCTCTTATTCTCTACCAGTTTTCCCTCCCATACCCACCTACACACTTATTTAGTTTTAATCATCTTTTGGTGAGTATCTTGTCAACTGTAGACCAGCCTTTGATTAAGGACCTTGTTCCTCTAACTCCTGAATGGCTTCTTCACATAGAAGGTGCTCAAAAAGTTACCACATTGAACTTTCTCTCTCTCCCCCCACTCTCTTTCTCTCAAATTGAACTCAATAAAGGAAGGATATGAATAGTAATGAAGGTGTGTAATGTGTTTAATAATTAAATAAAAGTGTAAGTTCATGGGATGGGGGCATACTGGAATTTTAAAAAGCTGATACAGCTCTGATTGTATATATGAACATTTTTAAAAGAAGAAATATTTGTTAAAAACTTTCAAAGGGCTGGGAAGGTGGCTCAGTGGTAGAGCGCTTGCCTTGTATGCTTAAGGCCCTGGGTTCAATTCCTCAGCACCACATAAGCAGAAAAAAAAAGCCAGAAGTGGCGCTGTGGCTCAAGTGGTAGAGTGCTAGTCTTGAGCTGAAGAGCTGAGGGACAGCGCCCAGGCCCAGAGTTCGGGCCCCATGACTGGACCCCCCCCCCCAAAAAAAAGCTTTCAAAATCAGTTTCTGTATGTATATATGTATGTGTATGCATCTATCTGTCTATCTATCTATCTATCTATCTATCTATCTATCTATCTATCTATCTATCAGGGGCTTGAACTTAGGGCCTGGGTGCTGTCCCTGAGCCTCTTTGTGCTCAAGGCTAGTGCTCTACCACTTGAGCCCCAGAGCCACTTCTTTTTTGAATAGTTTATTGGAGATAAAAGTCTCACAGGGACTTTTCTGCCCCAGCTAGCTTTCAACTGTGAGCCACAGATCTCAGCCTTCTGAGTAGCTATGATTACAGGCATGAGCCAGTGGAGCCTAGTGCGCCCTCTCTCTCTCTCTCTCTCTCTCTCCTCTCTCTCCATATGTGTATATATATATATGTAAGTCCTTTATATATATATATATATATATATATATATATATATATATATATATCTTTTATAGGTTGAGACCAGATCCCTAGGAATAAAAATAGTCTTAGAAAATTATTTCACCCTTGATTTAAGTTGGCATTGGGATTTGAGTAAATTTCTACAGTTACAGACAGAATATTGTAGACCAGCCTGGAGGAATCGCTAGAAATCTTGAATTTCTGAATTTTCTAGATTTTGTTGCCTGGTTATCTTAAATAGATTTTGAGGCTGTAATAGACATAAGTCTGGCCCAGACCTAAAATTCTCAGTTTCCTGGGGATTGACTGATTTGAGTGCTTTATTT